CAGGCCAGCCCAGGGAGCATTAACCCTTCCTGGGCAGGGTGGGCAGTGCTGGGGAGAGCCAGCTGCCCCACAGGAACAGACGGAGCCCAAAGGCAGCACCTCTCCTCCTGAACAAAGCATCAGGCCAAAGCTGGGCCAGCACCAGCCTGGGCAGCTGAACTGCTGGAGAAGAAGGGGGGATGATCTCCCGTGTGGGAAGGCTCTGCTGTGAATGAGAGTGGGGGTCCTGGGCTGAGCCCGGGCAGCACAGCAGAGGAGAAGGGGCTTTGGGCTGTGCCCCTGTCCTGGGATGGGCAATCCCACCCTCCAGCCCCTCCAGCAATGTGGACCCCACCACATTGCTGCACATCCTGAGGCTTCCAACCCTGCTGGCAAACACTTCCGTAATTTCGGGTTGTGCAAGATAAAAAATGAGGCAAACCAACCCCCTCTGCTTTATCTCCTGCTCTTCTTGGTGTCTGCTCAGTGTTGTACAGAATGGAGAGAGAGGGAAGCCCAGCCCAGGGTGAAGTCACTGCCTGGTGACCGAACAGCCCGCGGGGCTTGGATTCCATCCACCTGCAATTAACAGCACTCACCTTGGAGAGAAAATTCCGGAGGGAAAATAAACCTGCCCCAGTGTCTCACTGCCAGCCTCTCCTCCTTGCCAAGATCTCAGCTCTCCCAAGTCCAGACTGGCTTCTCTGAGGCTCTCCAGAAAAAGAACAATGTCCCAGGGAGGAGAGATCCCCTCCTGGCAGAGGGTCAGGACTGAACTGCCTGCTCTGCGAGAAGAAAAAGGGATTCTGCAAAAAATTCAGCAGATTGGGCTGGAAATCAAAAATGGATGGCCTGCTGGAGATGGTGGGAACTCCAGGCTGAAGGGACAGCCCTCAGTGGCTCTGGGTCACACACTTCATGCACAAGGAACTCAGATTTGTGTCCCCAGGTGTCTCACCTGAGACGCTCAGCCCTTCAACAGAAGTGGTGGTTTGGCTTGTCTGCTTCAAAAAAGCCCTCTTTGAACCAGGACAACTTGCAGATACCCAAATCTAGCTCTATACACCAGTTAAAAATCAGATGCCTCAAACTGGATCTCATTATTCCTGAAACTTTTGCAATCCCTAAAAATTGGCATGAAAAATTTGGTGCCTAATTCTGCACAAGCCAACTCATGCCCTTTAAAGCAAGACAAGTACTCACAGGGCTGTGCTCCCCTTCGGTGCCTGGCACTGGGGTGTGCTGGGAGAGGTTCCTTCTGCAGCCCTGAGGTGTTACCTGGCTCAGCCTCCTGTGCAGGTGGGAGCCAGCTCTGCCTCCGTGCTCCTCAGAGCAAGGCTCACTCAGACTGCAGACACCCCAAGCACTGAGAACTGAGGTGCAAAATGCAAAATTCCACTTTCAAATGACCGTCAGGGAATATTCAACACGGGGGGAACCAGACCAAAGCTGCCAGAGTTCATATATACAATGTATTTTGCACTGGCAGTGCCCCATCCTGAGCAGCAAAGCACAACTGCTTTGGAAGACACCCTGTCCATGATCTCCTCACCCCAAACAATAACCACAACTGCTTTACCCTGATGGTAAATCACTGATCTTCACCACTGATTAACACAGCCTGCCCAAGGAACCTCCTCCAGCAGTTACTGGCACTTCATCAACCTCAAACACCTGAGATCCACAAACAAGGGAGATTTTCCTTCCCCTTCCCAAGTAAATCAGTAACCTTTCCCAGCCCCTTTGGGAACTGATGTTGTCCTGTTACACCTCCCTTCTCTGAGCTCTCAGGATCAGTTCCAGCCCATCTCCTGCATCCCCAGCTCTGCATCCCCAGCCCAGCCCCAGCTCTGTGCTGCTGATGGAAAGGAAAAGCCCAGAGCTGGGAAGAAGAGCCCTCAGTGTGTTTGTCACAACCAGGAGGAAGACAGATGTGCAGCTCTTAGGAAAAAGAAATGCACACAGAGGAAGTTATTGCTAAGAGGACAGGAAAGAACAAATGGCAAATAGTTCATAATAGTAGTTCTGATGGGCAACAGAGGCAGCACCCCAAACAATTGGTATTTAAAGCAGATGACATAAGAGAGACTGAAATTATTTTAGAACTGCTGAGCTGATCATATTGTTTCTGTGTTTCCCTTTGGGTCAGTAACTGGATTAATCTCCTGCAAGCCTGCAGTTGTGGCTGGCCATGGCCTTGCTGCACACAGAGCTCACACACAGCTCTCTCCAGCCCCTCATTCCACCCTTCTTCTCCTTCCTCTGGAGCATGCCAAGGGCCTGCAGCTGCCTTTCAGTCCTTGCATTTTATCACAATAATTTCAAGTCTCTCTTTTACCTATTCCCAGGGTAGGTGTGTATGGGATGCTGACAGTGAGCTCACAGTTTACCTGAAAGAGGAAGGATGCTGAAACTGAACCTGAGACTCTTCCTCACAACAATTTCAACAGACCCTAAGCAGATGTTAGCCATGACAGATGTGGTTCACACCACTCCATTACCCACCTTTCTTCCCACTGCAAGGATATTGGTTGTGCTTTCCAGTCACACTCCCTGTGTTTAAAGGCAAATCAGAGAAATCAATTTTCCTCAACCAGGATAAAAATGGGACAAAAGTAACTCCAAACTTCAGATTTCACTCACAGCCCAAGGATAAGAGAGACCACTGACCACCGAAGATGATGGTTAGAAGTGCCAGTTCTCAGCCCAGACCTGCTGTCCTGGGAATCTGCTCTTCAACATTCCTGATTATGTGAAACTGGGAGTCTGAAAAAATCCACCCTCATCTTTAGGTGGCCGCTCTGGAAATAACCCAGAGGCCAAACCTGTGACTGCCTTCTGTCCCCAGTTAAACATGACAGGACATCTGCTGCCAAGTCACTCCTTTGCACCCTTCCCTCAGGAACACCAAGGGATGAGATCTGTGACACCACCCACCCTCCTGCTCTGCCTCCAGCAGCAGGGCGAGGTCACCCAAAAAGGGACCTGCATCACCTGGAGCTGCCTGTTCCTGTCACCCACAAAGGGACCTGCATCACCTGGAGCTGCCTGTTCCCACCACCCAAAAAGGGACCTGCATCACCTGGAGCTGCCTGTTCCTGTCACCCACAAAGGGACCTGCATCGCCTGGAGCTGCATCCCTGGGAGCTGCATCCCTGGGAGCTGCATCCTGTTTCCAGCTGCTGCAGCTGCAGCAGTGGTGGGCCCGGACCCTGGGGGCTGTCCCTGGTGCCTGGCACACTGCACAGCACCCGAGCTGCCCCTTCAGAGAGAGCAGGATGCAAACACAGCACATCCCTCGGAGCGTGACACAGTTACCGGAATAGGACCCGGTGTCAGACAAAGAGGAAAAATAATTGGCTGTATTTGCAGTCGGACCCAATGTTCTATTCCTGCAGGATATTCATAGCAAGAAACACTGTCTACCAGGACATAAATTAATGTAAGAAGGGAGTCAGACTCTATCAAACTCAGTAATTCGAAGTGTTTATGACAAATGTGCAGGAAGAACATTAAAAGTTCCAGTCAGAGTGGTGACTGAAATACTTTTCCTCCCAGAAGAAAGCAACAGAAAGCCCAGATATATCCTGGATTCATCTGCAAGACCAAAACATGCCAAGTGAGGTTACAAGCACAGCCAAGTAAGGTTAATGTGGCTGTGGCCCCTGGCCTGTTACACCACACAAACCCCACGTGCCAGATGAATCTGCCCCACGGACTCAGCAGTCCCAGACACAAAACAAGGATTTATTCCTCCTGCAGAGAGCCCCATGCCCCATCCCACAGTCCATGGGTGGTGCTGCAGATCAGTGCAAGCTGTCCTGGTGTCTGAGGGTGCAGCAGGCACTGCCATGTGCAGCACAGAAATAAACTCCTCTCTGCCAATTCCCCAGCCAGACAACTCCTGCTAACCTGAGCCTTCAGCTGAGATAACTCTGTGACAGTTCTGCTGTGCCTCAGGACAACGTCTGCAGATCCCAAATGCACCAAAGGGCTCTGAGGATGGGGACTGATGGCAGGAATGGCACCCTCCCAAGCTCTGGGGCACATTTCACAAGTGCCAGGGGAGGACAGATGACAGGAGTGCAGGAGCACAGCCTATTATTCCATCACCAGAGCTGGAAACCAGCACGTTCCCAGCAGCCACAGTGCACCCATGAATCCCAGGGGCTCCCAGAGCAGAAAAGGTCTCAAGTATTTCCTGCAGCCGAGGTGCAGAGAGCTGGCACAGCCCTGGGAAAGCTGCCCGGGCCGAGGGTGCCCCGCTCCCAGGGATGAATGGCTGTGTCAGCTGAGGCTCCCCAGCGCTGCCGTGGAAGCTTCTGAATGGATTCCAATCAAAGGGACACCACACATGCCAGAAACGATCAGCTTACAATGGAAAGCAGGCGGCTGCAACGGGAGAGCTCTCCCCACTGACTGAAAGGGGTCGGATTGATCCTGGGCAGCCCTGCACAGCTTTCCCACAGGAAACCGGGAGAGCAGGGCAGTGCCCACTGGCTGCCTCGCCTGGCACAGCTCACACAGGTGACACACAGGGGCCCACAGCAGCCCCAGCCAAGCACACCAGCCATTAAATGTGGTTTTAATAAACAAAGCAAGGGAAAGGAAAAACAGAGGTGGAATCCTCCTGTCTCACACTGCTGGGGGATTGAGTTGCACTGGAAGATAGCCTTTCCTTGGGAACTGGGAGCTGTGCCAACATCCACTATTTTCCAAGAAAATCCCCTCCTCAAAGCTGGCCAAAAGTCTGGTTTGCCACACCAGAGGCTGCCTACACTGAGACAAACTAAACTTCTGCTATTGGGACAGTCTCTAACCCTGCCTTGTG